AAAGCATTTAACCCTACAACAAAAAACTTCATGATAAGTAAAATGCCGATATTTATGGCCTGCTCAATAGGACGAGGTGTTTTCTGAAAACCATTGAACCTCGTTCAGACTTCGCGGTCGGTTCGCCCGAGCAACTGGGCCACTGCACGACCACGACCGGGCGCTCCACCGCCGCAACGGCAGAATTCATATTGATAGCGCTCACACAGTGCGATCTGATCGCGCGATCCAGTCGCGAAGTCTGAACGCAGTCTAACGCAAGCAAGAAGATATCCAACAAAAAAAAAGGAATTGTCATGACTCACCGAGTATGATCAAATGGAACAATGTTTTTGTAACGATTTCTGCTAATATTCTGCTCCTTCTTCCCTTCACGTCGAGAAGAAAACTGATCGTCCACTTGTTGAATGCGCTAAAGAAACATAAAAATGATGCATTTATATTTACTGCTTAGACTGGATGGAGCTTGAGACAACAGTGCCATCTACCAGGCAATATGCACCGTTATAGGCATTAATGTCAGGCAATGCAAGTGAAATTCGAGTCAAGAAAATATCATTACATGAAATTCGCCATTTTTATGAAATCTTATAGTACTGCAGAGCTGATGCATTTCAAAACGGGATTCTATACAATGTTTCCCTAAGCTGCGTTCATACACAGTGGCTTGGTTTCAGGAGAATCAGCGTTCTGAGTTCCATAACCCTTTCCGCGAAGGCACCGTTCAGATTTCACGATGCCTCGACACGTTATAACGCGCTGTAACGCGCGTCGACGCGCTACGATTGCAGTAGCGCTCCGATACCATGGACGCGAACGCAGCCGCAGAAGGGAAGCGATTAGCGAAGGCAGAGGGCACGCGTTACCTGAGCACGTAGTCTGGTATCGATCGGCACTGACCTCCAGGGCTCTGGGAATAGTACAGAAGTACGGAAGAGTACCAGACTGTGTGAAGGCAGCGCCTCATCGCGAAGTCCGAACGCTTCCTTGAAGGGCCAGATCCAACACCTGTACCTGCCTTTTCGCTCGAAGCGTCGAGTCGCAAAGCAAGAACGCAACCTTATTGTTCTATAATATCGTGAGAGACAGAAGCTCTGCGGTTTTTTCTTGAGGGGAAAAATTGCAGGAATACTGGCTGAATTTTGTGCCTTTAGAGTTCCGTTGCAATGAATTTCGACGCGTCTTGATGTCATCAGGATTCTAATGATGCCCGGCTACAGCATGATAATAAGACAACGTTTCACATCTATCACCTCAAATTCCTCCAAGAAGCCAGACTTTTTCGTGACTGGATCGATTTCCTCCAACAGACGAATGCGTTCGTCAATTGCGTCTGCAGGAACGCAAGTCGACGGAACCAGCT